AAAAATTTTAAAAGTCTAAAATTTTCAAACTGCCAATTAGAAGAGTTAAGTTATTGAGCAACTGAAGGAAGCAGGCCAGGAGTGGTTATAGAGAAATAATAGCAACTTTTATTATCTTTAGACAACTGAATGAATAAAAATATGCAGTTAAAGCTTCAACAAAAAATACTACAGATATATCTTAGAAACTTAAGGCCTGATTAAAATTAATTTAATAGCTGGTATTCAAATTCTCAGCAAATGTTTTTATAATACATAGTTCATAGTATCTCAATTAAATGAAGGAAATGATTTATATGAATAAAATAGTAAAAGACAGGAGGTATTTCAGATTCCAAAAGTGGTTTCTAAAAGGAAATACAATCATCATGCCTTTACTTATTCTTTCTGCCTTAATTTCTTGGAGTAAGAAAATATAACAATAAAATTCCTGAGTCTAAAGTATGATATCAAATCAGATACCAGGAAATGAAGCCGTTTCTGGAGAAGAGTGTTTTTTAAAAAAAATGTAAAATGCTATTTCACTCAGAAGTTTCATGTGAGGTATAATAACAGAAGGGAGACAGCAGAATGAACTGGCGAACAGGGGGCATCTAGAGAAAACTGCACTGTCAGTTCATGTAGAAGATGACAAATATGATCAGCTTCATCTTTTCTCCCCAATGTTTCCAGCCAATCTTACAAGAGGCATTTTGTCATTTTATCACCTCTTTCATTTCATTTAAGCTATCCATTCAAGAAACACTAAGCACCTGGTATAATGCCAAACTAACACACAAGTCTCATTTGAGTTCAACCCATTTCCTTTGAATCATCTCTTGTAATTCTCATCTTCTTAATTCCTTCATGTTACTCCCTTCAATCAGCACTTATCATCTTCAAATACCAAATTATAAGGGGACTTAACACTGGTATCCCAGTCAACTATCCACAAGTTCCCATAAAAAAAGCCCCTTCTTTATCTGCCTTTAAAGAAAATTGAATGCTGCCATTATTTCAGGGGAACTTAAATATCTAAATATCAGGGAGAATTTTTATATGATCTTCATTAAATTAAAATAGATGCATTAACTGACCAAAGAATATGGGTGATGTTACATCCTATATTGCATTTATTAGCTCCATATGAAGGAAATAATTTTAAGTCTGCCAAGATGTAAAAATTAGAAGCATCATATAAAACTACTTGTCAAAACTGGCATGCTTTTCTGAAGCAACAATAGCACACTGCCTCAAATACATAACAAATGTAAGCAATTATCCTTAATATCATAAAATAAATATGAAATAAAATCCTGAATTAATTATATAGAGGTAAATAGGCAACTAATCCCACCTGAGGGTGTATTATATGAAGCAGAAAAGAAAAGCTACACAGTATCATGTAGAAATGTCACCCTGAAATGGACTCTGGTTCAGATAATACTAAACTAGTTAATAAACTAAGAATAGGTACCCCCATCACTCAACTAAAAATGTGAAATCTTTACTGGCCAATTTAATGGAAAAATAACACCACTAGTTGAAAATTAAGTTGGGCATTAACTTCATATTTCTGAGGGTGGGCAGTATGACAAAAATACAAGTATTAAAATCTAGGACAAGATAATGGATTTCATACAAACAATATCTAATACTGGCCCCAAATCAGAGTTTTAGATATGGTAAAACTGAGAACTAAAAAAGAAGGGCTGAAAAAACTTATTTGTCAGAGACATTGATATATATATTGTTTAATCTTTGTAACAATCTTGTGGAGTAGGTAGTTCTACAGACATAAAGGGGTTTCCCTCGTGGCTCAGTCGGTAAAATCCCCTGGAGAAGTAAATGGCAACCCACTCCAGTATTCTTGCCTGGAGAATCCCATGGGCAGAGGAGCCCGGCGGGCTATAGCCTACGGGGTTACAAGGGTCGGACACAACTGAGCAACTAAGCATACACACACGGACAGAAAGTGGATCAGAAGTCAGGCATCTTGCCCAAAGTCACACAATTAGTTTAGTGGCAGGGTCAAATTTTAAAACCAAATTTTCTTTCTCTGAGAGCTATCACATGGTACCAAAACAGAATGAATCTGTTTCAGAAGTACATTTTGGAGAAAAGTTATTACCAGAGATAGAAATAAAACAGGAGGCCCTGGAATGCATTTCATGTGTGGGTGAAAAGCAGGAATCTATTATGAAAATAAACTGCATTTTATTTAAATATTTTACCATCTAAAACATACTGTATATGTTGTATCTCTATCCCTGAGAGGGAAAGAAAATGAGGCAGAAAAGACTGGATCTGTAATGGACAGATTGTATGCACTACCCCCATATCAAAACACTCTTTTTACCCACCCCTCACTCTTCTATTCGATAGGAAAAGCATACTTAGGAAATTGAGCTCTACTCAAAAACAGGACATAACTGATCCAAAGAATAGAACAGAATAACCAAATCTTTGATAAGGAATCACTGAGAATGGCTATGTGGTCTAATTCTGGCCAATGAGATGCGAAGTGTTCTTGAAATGATCAAGAAGAAGTAAGGATCTTTGTCCTCTACAACGTGATAAATCAGGTATTTACTGAGTACTTACTATATATGCCAGCACTATACTAAGCACCTATACCATTACTATATAATGCTTTTCTTTATGAAACATGAAAAAGAAATCATTTCACTTTGATCACACCTGGAAACCAACTTGGAGCCAACATAAAACAAAGAAGAAAATAAACCTTTAATCAAACACTGGATCAGTTGTATCAACCAATCCTAAAGGCTGGACTTTACATTACTGAGATACATTTTTTGTTGTCATTTTAACCAGCTTCAGGTGGGCGTTTTCTGAGGTTGCAACCCAAAGCATCTATACCAACACACTGTGCTAGGTAGGAAACAACTTCATGGAGTAGAAAAGTAACCAGAGGCTCCATATCCATCCATATGAAGGTCAAGTACTAGACAGTCCACTGGAGGAAACTTGGAGGCTACCTATGGGGAATGGGGCATATCATTCCTTCTGATTCCTACCTCCATTTACACTAAATGCTAAGCACTTATAGTAATATACTGAAATATGACATCTTTAACTACAAATGTTGCCTAAAATTCTCTTACAAATAGACAAGGAATAATGGAGAGATAAGCCTTAAAAAGCCAATGTCAAGATGAGATAAAAATTAAATGAAACCTTCTCATTTCATTGAAGAAAAATATCAAGGACCCCTGAAATTCTTTTCTATGTTCATAAAAATGAAACAAACATCAGAATGGTATCAAGTATTTTAAATAAATGGAAGAAAGGCCCCAAACAAGAAGACTGTACTTATTAAGGCAATCTTGCAAAAATTGCTATGACTTGAAAGTTTGTTAGCCTTTAAATACACCTGAACAAATGAAAAGTTGTATACAGGAAGGTTTCTGTTGAACATGGGTAAGCAAGAACACTTTGAATAAGTCATGGAACACTGCCCAACAGTTTCCCCTGATTAAAGGAGATTTTAAATATTGCCACCTTCATGCAAAGAGAGCTTTGCATCCGTAAAATTGTTTAAGTTACCACTATACTGATATTCAGAGACAGCCACATACCATAATTTGGGACATATCTGATTACTTTTTCCACTCAAATATATTTTCTAAGCAACATTTATCAAACTGCTACGAAAAACACTTCTGCAACACACAGTATACATACTGTGACAGTTCTGTAAAAAACTTGAGTAAGTTGATTTTGTATTATAAGTCATTTAAATAATCTGGTTTGCTAGTATACACTGCTACGGTCCAACAGGAGGTCAAAATATGCAAGGTAGAATATCTGAACTAGTTTTCCATTTCAAGTCCACTCACATGCCAAAATACAGTTTGAGATAGGCTGCTCTAAGCTTGAGGAAAACTGATTAACTTCTCCACATTACTTACATTTGCCCTAAGGCCTATTCCTCAAAGTGTACTCAACTTTGACAACTGTGTGATCTGAATACTGTCACAATCTACTTACTTTCATGTTTTGTGGTGTATACCTCTCTTTCATACCAACAGCACTGTTCTGTATAAACTCATGAAAGACAGAAACGGTATTTGTGAAAGTGTCTACTTTACAACTCTAGGGCAATTAGGCATTTCTAAATAATTTTTTAAAATTTCAGTAGTACCTTATTAGTGAATTCAAATTACAACCTACTGTAAAGCATTATCTTTATCTGCCTCCTAACCCTTCAGAATGAAGATAGCATACAATGGAGATATTTAGAACATGGCAACCATTACAGTCATAAACTCACAAAAAATTAAGCTTTTCCTAGAACTTCTAATCCTTTCAAAAATCAATCCTTTTGTCAAGCAGGGAAGCACTATTTTCATGAAAAGCCCAGTAATACCTAAAGTTATGGCATAAATAGCACAGGAAACTCAATGAAAAACTTGAGAAATGTTAAAATCTATAGAAAGTAAAACATTTAAGCAACGATGTGCTATTTTGCCCAACAATGTTTATACTCACAAACTAGCAGTTGAAATGACTACCAAAGAACACACTTTTTTTTATAATTTAAGATATGAGACATGCTCTGTTGGTAGAGGTGGAGTGACACCTAGTGAGACCCATTCAAATAAATGGTCAAAGATTGGGGGGGGGGAGGGTCGTCACAGATACAGAATCACGGAGCAGCTGGTTCTGACCCATCACTAACAGTGGAGTGATTCAGATGTTCAAATCGAGGTTGAAACCTTTACCCTTTCCACAATTCAAACTTTAAAAAGAAAAAAAAGTTTACTAATATAATTACCTGCTTATGTCTTAGCACCATAACTACTTTGTACTCTGAAACCCAAACATATGCATCTTCCAGTTCATAGCTGATAAAAGTTCTTGCATCTAAATTTTCAAATTTTCTTTTGAAGTACCAATACAAATTCCAACATTTCTCAATGTTCTAATATTTGACAACCCCCCTCAAAAGCACAAAAAATGAAACACTGTATCTTTGATAAAACCCAACAACCTACCTTTAAACTAGACTCATAGTCTGTGTTCACTTTGAACATAAGCCCAAGCCGTAAATGAATTTCCTTGGCTCGACAAAAGCTGGGATCAACATAAAGCACCTCCTGAAATGCTTTAATTGCCCTGAAAGAACATAGACAAAAAATATCTTTACTTTTTAACAATTACATGAATTTTTGCATGGTAGCACAGTAAAATCTGTTTTATGCAATTCTGTTTTAAACGAAATGCCAGTTTTATTAAAATGATGTCAATGGATAGCATAAAAAAAAAAAGACTGGGAAGGGATTCTTGGGTTTTTATGTAAGTGAAAGTGTGTAATATAAAAAGAGAAAAGGAAGATGAGCTGAATTAATTCTTAATTATTCAAATAATATTTTATGGCTTAATAAAATTCTCAGTGTTAATAACTGATTTCACTGTTTCTGGAATTTCCTAAGGGAGAGAGGATAGAGCAGGTGGATAGTTTTGTTTTTGAGGGAGACTGATCCTGTTTCTAGTCTACTCCATAAAATGAAGTCTTCTTTTTAAAAATTTTTTATTTCTTTCATATTTAGGTTTGCAATCCATCTGTACCTTACTTTTTATATAATGTTTTCATCTTTTTCTATACAGATGTTCGATAGCCCCTACATCATACATAGAAAAGACCATCCTTACCACAGCTCTACAAAGCCACATTGTTCTAAATCAAATGTCCACATCAAACATCTTGATCTGTTTCTGGGCTCTCTATTCTGTCACTTGATGTGTTTTTAACCCAAATTCACATTTTATTATATAAAGTCTTAATGACCAGTAGAACTTATACAAGGATGAAGGAACACTTTTCACTGAATACATTTTTGTATCATTTGATCACATGAATGTTACGATGTACTTAAAAATGAAATTAAAATTTTGACAAAGAAAAATGTCTCATTTGAATTTTGAAAATTATAGTATCAGATATACAGTATTTTAGGCATCACTATATAGCTCTCTACATAATTTAAGGCTTATCTCAAGTACAGGCTAATAAATTCTTGGCAAAGCTTTTTATCAACTATACATTGCTTTTATTTAATCTTAAAGGAGGCTACCTGGAATCTTAGATAATTCCAAAATAAAAGTCAATCTTTTATATAAAACTTCAAAATACAATATCATAAAATAGAGCAAAACAATATGCCCTATGTCTTTAAGCAACTATATTTTGACTTGTGTACTATCTATTCCACCTCCAGAAAAACTGTGTATTTATTATAATATTAAGGGTTCTAAACAGTAATATTTATTGTGAGGAGTGGGGGCAACAGGTCTGGTATCAGATACCTTTACAGCTGGTTAAATAATTTCTTCCTGAAAAGGAGTTCAGCATCTCTGTGTTACATGGCATTTCAAATGGGTTGGGTTATTTATGTATTTTGCTATCTAGTGTGTATAGACAGAAGAGGGGAGTCAAAGACATGGTAAGAAAGAATTCATGTAAAATTTCGAAGAAAATTACCTTTCTTATTCAAAGGTGGCTTCCTGCTCCTCTCAATCAGACTTCAAGACACTCATCTGCATACTGCTAAGGTCTCTGTACTTTTCTCAAACCTTTCTAATAAGAGGAGGTGCAGCTTCAGCCTCTGTATTCTCTTGGTCATGTCTAGAGGCACCATTTTCTAATAGAATAGATTGTGTGCTCAAGCAAGTGCATGTGTGTGTATGCGTGTGCCTGTGAGAGAGTGTGTGTATGTTGGGGGGTGGGGCATAAAAAGGTTAGAAAGAGAATAACTGCAGCAGCAAATGATACCAATTAAAAGGTAAGATGTGACTGGGAACAGGAATTCAGGGGCTTTTGGAAGCTCCTAGGGTGATAGTAGAAGCTTCTGGGTTGGGAAGAGCTGGAGAAGGGATAGGCTACCCACTTCAGTATTCTCAGGCTTCCCTTGTGGCTCAGCTGGTAAAGAATTCACCTGCATTGCAATAGAGACCTGGGTTCGATCCTTGGGTTGGGAAGATCCCCTGGAGAAGGGAAAGGCTACTACTCCAGTATTCTGGCCTGGAGAATTCCATGGAGGTCACAAACAGTCAGACACTACTGAGCAACTTTCACTTCAGGGCAATAGTAATTTTTTATTTCTCAACCCAAGTGACAGTTCTTTTTATTTTATAAATAACATGTAAAGATGTATAGTTTAATGTGTGTAATTTTAAGCATATTTTATAATAATAAGTGCTTCATAAAGTCCTAATTAACCTTACCTTATGATATGGGTCAGAGAACTCCTATGGAATGGGTCAGAACTAAGCAATGTGCACACATGCTAATTAAAAATCCAGGCAGGAAAGAATGGATCTATGTATATATATACACACACACACATTGTACAGCTGAAACTGACACAACCTTATAAACTATATTCCAATAAAAATTCAAAAAAACAAAACAAACTAAAACACCCCACTCCACCCCCAAAAAAACAGAGGCAGGTCTGAGACATATACATGAAAGAAAGAGAATGGAAAAGGAAGGCAGCAAAGGATAGAAAGATTAAAGGAGAAGAAGATAGGAAGAAAAACAGTCCAAGAAAGGATGAATGCAAAAGGGAAGAATGAAAACACAAAGCATCAATAGCAACCCTTCAGGAAAAATATTTCCTACTCTGTCTCAGTTTCTATTTCCACCCTTTGCCCAATCTTTGATAAATGTGTTTTATTTCATAGGTGCCTTTAGTTCTTAGTTTGAAATGTTACACAACTACAAAGAAATGTAGGTTTAACAAATTCTCTATATAGGTTAACATACTGGGATAAAAAAAAAAAAAATAACCAACCTATCAGCAAAAACACATGTTCCAATACACTAGTCGGGGCTACACCTTACTGCTCTTTAAGGACTATTACAAGTGCCTATGACAAGGTTGAACAATATTTATCTATTCATCAAGTTCCCCAGGTTGTTTCAAAGTTTCCCTCGAATTCAATACTTGCAGACTCAGTCTTCAGTATCTCCTTAGTAGATAACTGAAACAGACTCCTTAAAGACTCCCCTTGCTCTGCTCTGGCTTGCCCGTGCTTCCTCAAGTATGTGGCTCCTATGACTGCCTACTAATAATCATGATACTCAAGTCAAATCTCCATATAGCATTTAAGGTCTGTGAGCAGTTACACCCATTCCCAGTCATGCCCTAACACTGCTCCTCTTCAACTGTGAGCTGGCACATCTCAGGAACTCTTTCATGCAAATATTAGCCTTCTTGCCACTGCTTCTCCTGAGGACAGTCTCCTGACCTGAAATATTTTCATTCTTCTGCTTCACTCTAAATCCAATATTACCTTTAATATTCACCACCCAAACTCAATACCTTTTTTTTTGCTTAGTGTTAACCAGCAGTTAGGGCCACTCTATAATCAAATCATTTTATTCTCTACTTACCAGAGTGCTATCTCCAGTTTTTCCAAGTGGTCTATTCCTTGAGGTCTACATTCCTTTTTTATTTTCAAATACTCTAGACATTACAGGAAAATGTCTAGTATCTGTTTACTGGTGTCATCACTTTCATAGTTAGCAAACTGGACTTCTTGTTGAGGGCGTGGGAAGGGACACTCCACAGTCTCTTTACTGATCAGAGTTCCCCTGAGCTAACAAAATAGATCTAAGTTCATTTTCACTTCCTTTTATAAACTTTCCCCATCTTTCTCTCCTATGTGTTGCTTCCACCCCTTGGGGGTGAGAGAAGAAAAAGAATGTGTTTGTGTATTAGGAGGGGAAGAGCGCTGTGTGGAGAAATCAGGTACAACTCAGATTATTCTAATTTTGGCCATCATTTTAATACACTCATATCTCACCAAACCATATGCAGCCAGAACATGGTCTCTGTAGTGAAAGTGAGACTAAACCACCAACACATACAAACTCTGCTGACATCAGTATTTTGATCAACAGACAATTTCAGAACATGAGAAATGGCTACTTAAAACCATAGAATACTGTTAATGATATAATGCTTAGAAAGGCTTACAATTTTCAAATATTAAAGCATAATCTCTACTAAAATAAAAGTGCATATTGCTATGCATAACTATCCATGCATTTTTCCCTTAAAATCTAAAAATGGTTTTTTAATCACCGTAATTATACCTATAGATTTTCAGTTTAAAATTTTACATTTAATGTTAGATGCTAACAATTTTTAAAAGGAAATTATAAAAAACTAAAACCTGAATACCACTACCTACAAAAAACCACACGTTGACTATATTTTAAAGCAATGTTCATTTTTAATAAGGTTTCTAGAAAAGTCATTTTTTAAAAAGCCTCCTTTAGAACTTTACCAAACTATAGAAAAATAATGATATCAAGTAAACATCCTGGCAGTTTGAGCACATTTAAAGAAACAAAATAAAACTTTTAAGTTCTCTGGAGCTAATAAATGTGAGTCCAGAGATTTCCCTCAGGCATATCTGACGGGATAAAGAAAGTAATTTCACAAGTTTTCATGCTAATAAAAGAGAGAATACTTTAGCTCTAAATCAGTAATAACACATACACAAAACAAATAAATACTTCCATACACACACAAACACACTTACGAAATTTAGACGTTCCTTCTAAATGAGACAAATAGTAAGATTTGATGAAGAACTCAAAGAGACAGGTAAGATATTTAAAGATAGAGATGGAAAGAGAAGGCAGACCAAACAAAGTAAATGGCATAAAACAAGTTACATGGGTAAAAAAATGCTCAAGAAATTTTCAACAAAACGTTAATATAGTAGTGACTCACACAAAGAATATATTTAGGGGAAGAATAGGGTAGAAAGATCATTTGAGGTTGAAACAGAGAGGATCTTAAATGTGAGGCTAAGTTAGAAGTATCATACATTGGTTTATTCACATTGACATTTGCTAATGTATTACCTCTTCGGTCTTTTGCCCTCTTCAGCCAACTTCATTTCATTACTGCAGACAGTGGGATTTTTTTTCTCCTCTCCATTGTAAAGTGTATGTTTTTATTCATAATTTCCCTGAGGCTTAATCAGTCCAAACCCTTCCAAATTCTCTCTGGCAATCTATGTGTCACTGGTAAGCATCATTTTACCAAAACTACCTTATTTATCTGCTAGTTTTTTTCCAAAACAGAAGCAAACAGAATAAATTCAACATACATTAACATCAACTGCTTTATTTTAATAGAAGTATACTTAAACTCTGGTCTAAGAGAATTAGTTTGCATAATGATAGCTCAGAAAACATATTAATTATTTTTGCCAGACTCCATGTTAAACAAGCTTCAAGGTCAACAGTGGTTATCTCGACTACATTAGGTTTATGTTTATGTTTGCACTCAAAGCAGTGACTTTACAAGGCAAGCAAAGATTACTATACCCTTAAAAACACTTGGTAACTGGTACAAATAATTGGCACACTTGTAATTTGAAATGAGTCCTGGAGAAAATTCACTTGTAACGTGTTAACATCTCTGTCTTTTTGAACTCACCTCCATCTCATTACCCTACTCCTTGCTGATGTCAACATAATAATAATCACTACATCTCCTTACCAGGCCTTATCAATCAGATTTGGGAAGCTAATTTCCAAAATCCTCTGCCTCTGGCAAAGAATTATGTAGCTGTTACATCTGCTACCATTAAGATCATTCTGATATTGATCAGTGGGGATACAAAAGGTTACAAGCTAAAGAAAAAGGAATGGTAGGATTTTCAAGGGGATATATTCAGAAATATGGCTACAAGTTATAATAATTTACTACTGTACATGGTTCAATTTTTTTCATTCAAAGACATACGTTTCTTATTATAAAGGCAAGGAAAAGCTCAGTTCAAGGTGCCCTTAGCAATTTGCCACCCTCATGAAGTGAAGGCATGGGCATGAACATGGAAAGGAACAGCTTTATAGATGTTGGTTCTAGCTCTCTGCTGCATGTATTTTACTTTGGGCTTCTATGTCTTCCTTCCTTCTTCTGGATATATAATTTTTAAGTCTGGTCACAAGTTACTAGGTATGATAATAGTAGAATTAAATAGTTATGATAAATCTACTGAGAATTTAACAATTGCTGTTTCTGACACTGGGCTCCTCAAATTGAAAGTAGAAAAACTGACCAAGTTACTGAATTGACTCAAGAGGCTAACATCAACTCAAAAAAACAGGGGGGGGGGGGGCGGGGTGTGCAAATTAATAGGGCAACAAACAAGACAGATTAACAAGATAAAACCCATAGTTGATAAAATTGCTCTTAGTAATTTATTAGGTCACTATCACCAACTCCAACACACATGTTGATTGCATGCTTTCTTCTCAAATACTTAATCTAATTAAATACCAACAGACACCATTTCCAAATATTAAACTCTACTTGAATTATAAATGTTCCAGAGCTAGACCATTCTGAGCTAACAATACAAAAAAGGCATGCCATACCTTTCTCTGCAAATATTTTTTCAACAAATCCCAAAGAACTTAAGTGTGTGTGTGTGGAGGCGGGGGGTGGGGTGGGGGGCTGCTCCCAGAAATTAATAGTTACCTATAAATAAAACAAAAAAATCCCCACACAAATTTAGTCTTAACCTAGGAAGTTCCTATCCATTAAAGCTATACTCTAAAACTCTCACCAAGCACCTACTCCCAAGCTTTCTAATTTTGTGGCTGTTCAAGTAATAATGAAGTAAGTGAAAGCAAAATTGTGGGCAGTTTGTGAAAGAACATTTGATCAGGAAAACAGAAAATATACATCCATGATAGATTAAGAGAGAGTATGAATGACTTCCTTGGTGGTCTAGTGGTTAAGAATTCACCTTGCAACGTAGGGGATGCACGTTCGATCCGTGGTCCAGGGAGAAAGATCCCACATCCCGTGGAGCAGCTAAGCCCTCACACCACAACTACCTGAGCGCGTGTGCCACAAGTAGAGAGCTTGTGTGCTACAACTAAGCCTCGAGCAGACAAAATAAATAAATAGATATATATTTTTTAAAAGAGAGAGAAGGTATGAGATATATCATTTTAGGGAGCAGCTAGAGCTGAAACTTAAGACATGAGAAAATGGTAACCAGGACAGGATCAACAAAACAGAAGACACTCAGTAATTCAGAGACTGTATCATTCTTATATCATTTCATTAAGGCAACTGAAGGACACAGAAATCATATGTAGATAAAGAATCAAAAGATACAGTTTTCCACACTACAAGTCCCCTAACTTGACATGGTCACACACGTTTCAATGCAATCCAATTTTGAACTGATGATGGCTTCACCTCACTATTGATTTTATGCTTTTATCTGTGATCTACAGAGTGTTCACAAGTTATCACAGGTAGGTGAAAACTAACTCGTGTGAGGTATACCTGTCCATTTCTTAAAAGTGTAGCATCCCTTGCCTTGAGTTTCACCTAAATTATTCCTGGCTGGCCATAAAGATTGTACAAATGTGCCCAGAAGAACAATTATAAATACTGACTAAAAATAATGACCTATCAATCTTCAAACTTGCGGACAGACTACAATAGACAAAATAATTAGAGTGGGAAATCTGAGCATAAGCTTGCTTCTGCAACCAATTACATAATACTGAGTTACACACACACACACACACATATCTCTTGTTTTCTTCATCTATAAAATTAAGGGAGAAAACTAATTAATCTCTAAGGCCACTTCGGGTTCTAAAAGTTTACAACTGTGAATTCTATAAATAGGATCTTCAAGAACCTAAGAGATTTTAAAACACTCCTACTCTACTTTTGATGATACATGATACACTGCGTACATAGTTAGGAGGCTTAAATTTTATATTGTTCTACAACAATGCATAATTTAAAAGAAAAATATTACAAAACTTCTATAAAGACCAATTATAGCTTTGTAAAGTTTACCATGAAATGAATGATTTGAACGATTATAATACTCTATCCACACAGGTGTTCTCTAACAATGCAGTGCTTCCATTGATGATCAAAAATCAACAGGACCAAAACCAAAGAGGAAAGAAAAGGCATCTGGGAAAAGTCATTCATGTCTGAAGTTTCCTCTTTAAAGCAATCATATTACATCATTGCCAATGCACATTTAAAAGCTCTGTAATAAATATCCACGGTGCCCATCAGGTATATGACAGGGTTATAACCTTTGGTAAAAACGTTCCTCTGAACTTTCTCAGCACTCACTCAAGCTTAAAATTATGGAGACTAGAAAGGATTCTGACAAAGTTGAATACATTTAAAAAAAAAAAAGTCTACATAGGGCTTTACAGTTTACAAAACGTACATTATCTCATTTGATCATCAAAACTCTATTAAGAGCAGAAAAGACAATTAATTGCAATGTACCTAAAACACACACACACGAGAAAACAGATCAAACTAAAAGTGCTGAGAACAGAATACCAATCTGTCAACTATGTTCTTTCCACTAGAGAATGCTACTGTCTTGTCTGGTAAACAGAAAAACAACAAGGGGGCAAAGGCCATAGTAACAGGGTCCTATATACTTTATCATTTATAAAATCTTACATACTTCTATCATATTTAATGTCCAACTCTGAAAATGGTACCATTATTACTATTTTACAGAAGAGAGAATTGAGAGTTTAAAATCTAGTCCATAGAGTACTAGTGTGTGTGCATGTGCGTGTGTGTTTTGGTGAAGGAGGAAGGGAAGGAGCAGTCGATATGTCTAAAAGTCTGAAAAGCAGATACTTGTCATCATACATCACTTACCCACAAACCTTGAGAACAGAGAGCACAGTCATTTCCTGGTTCAAATAACCTGGGGACCACCAGGTATAATAAAAGTAACAGGAATTCCAAAAGCTTTCTAACCTAAGTCTTCTTTATACCAGATTCTTTTAGGAACATATACATTTTTAATAATCTAAGGTGGGTTAGTATCTCTAAAGGAACAAAGTAATAATTTCAAGAGATTATTGGAAAGTGTAGGCTTATTGATATTAAAATATTTTGTATTTATTACACATACATACACACACAAACAGAAAAATGCAAACAAAAGCTATATACTGGAAACAACTGGAGTTACTAGTTTTACATCAACTTACCACTGAAATGCATTGTAATGGAAGTAGACCAAACCAAGACCATATAAAAAGGCAGCATTCTGAAAAGAAAGGGAAAAAAGAGACTTTTAAGAAAAGCATTTATGTCTAATACTATTATTATAAAACATAGTACCCACGATGTTTCAAGTTATTAACACTTTATCCTGCATTACAATATATTTACAATATCTCTTTAAAACACCAAAACAGCTTAAGAGTCAACAGATGGCACGGAATCCAATCAACTTGGACAGATCCTGTGGTTTCTTTTCAATCAAACTTGTCCTGAAGTAAAAAATCTGTCAGCAACATACAGATGGCCAATGGACATATGAAAAGATGCTCAACATCACTAATTATTAGAGAAATGCAAATCAAAACTACAATTAGGTATCACCTCACACCAGTCAGAATGCTGCTGCTGCTAAGGTGCTGACTCTGTGTGACCCCATAGACTGCAGCCCACCAGGTCCTCTGTCCCTGGGATTCTCCAGGCAAGAACACTGGAGTGGGTTGCCAAGTCCTTCTCCAATGCATGAAAGTAAAAAGTGAAAGTGAAGTCACTCAGTTGTGTCCGACTCTTCAAGACCCCATGGACTGTAGCCTACCAGGTTCCTCGTCCATGGGATTTTCCAGGCAAGAGTACTGGACTGGGCCAGTCAAAATGGCCATCATTAAAAAGTCTATAAATAACAAATGCTGGAGAGGGGGTGGAGAGATGGGAACCCTCCTACACTTCTGGTGGGAATGCAAGTTGTTGCAGCCACTATGAAAAACAGTGGATGCCCTCAGGAAACTAAAAGTACAATTACCATATGATCCTGCAATCTCACTCCTGAGCATATGTATCTGGACAAAACTGTAATTCAAAAAGATACGTAATTCAAAAAGATGCTCACAGGAGCACTATTCACAATAGCCAAGAGAGGTAGATAACCTAAACGCTCATGGACAGATGAGTGGATAAAGAAGATGCAGTACTATATACAATGGAATACTACTTAACCATAAAAATAATTTCATTTGCAGTAATATGAATGCAACTAGAGATTATCATACTAAGTGAAGTCAAATCAGAAAGACAAAGACCATTAAATCACTTATAATGTGGAACCTAAAACATGACACAAATGAACCTATGATACAGAAACAGAGAACAGACTGTGATAGACAACAGCGGGGGTAGATGTACTGGAAGTGTGGAGTTAGTAGATACAAACAATTACATCCAGAATGGATGGACAGTAAGATCCTACTGTATAGCACAGGAACTACATTCAACCATATTCAAAGTCCTGGGATAAACCATAATAGGAGATATTAAAAAGAATGCATATATATGTACAACTGAGTCACTTTGCTATACAGGAAAAATTAACATAACATTGTAATTCAACTATACTTCAATTAAAAAAAATCTGTCAGCAGAATTCCATAGATAAAAAGAAAAATCTATTTTTCAGGAGTAAGAAAATGCTTGAACTATGCTATCTTATTCTCTCTTGCTTGTATCTCTGTACTCTTTCTCTGGTTCTTTCTGACTGGATTTAATTCTACGTTCAGTGTTGCCAGGAAGGTAGTCAGAATTCAAAGTAAATGCACAATATAAACCTATAACCTATAATTTTAGTATTAACAAAAAAATTTTAGTATTAACAAAAAACCCACATGCTAAAATGACAGTCACTTACATTTGCGGCTATAAACATCAGTGATTCCTTTTGCATGCACTACAAAACAGAGATGCTTATCCACACTCAATACAACCTCCAGCCCCCATATAGGAAACTAGATAGCAACTCTTTTTGTCAAAAGGGGCAAACAGCTGAGTACCTACTATATGTTATCCAAATTCTACATTCCAAAACTTAAAAATTTTCAAACTCTTACTAAAATATCTCTTACTGCATTATTTTAGGTTATATTTCCTCAGAAGTACACCCTGAGACAAAAGGTTTTAGTTTAAGTATTTTATTTGTGAAGTTAGCCTAGAAAACACCAGTAATGGATTTGGAGAAGGCAGGCAGGGAAGGGAAGGAATCTAATAAAGGGTGTAGTATGGATGACTATGGGCTTCCCAGGTGGCTCAGTGGTAAAGAATCCGCCTGCCAATGCAGGAGACATGGGTTTGATCCCTGGGTCAGGAAGGTCCCCTGGAGAAGAAAATGGCAACCCACTCTAGTACTCTTGCCCAGAGAATCCCATGGGCAGAGGAGCCTGGCATGCTACAGTCCATGATATCACGAAAGAGATGGACACCACTTGGTGACTAAACCACCACAACATGAATGGCTATGCAGCTGTGGGCAACAGGGACTCAATCCTACTGGGAATTTCTAGGAGACAGTAAAGAACATTCTCAGAGTCATTCTGTGCTAGATGTGAGCCAACTACAGTCCTTATCCCACAACTGCTGTCATTCAACGACTGCAGAAAAGAACCAGTGATATTTAAAGTCTAAAGTATAATAAACACCTGGGCAACTTATTGGTATGCAGTTATTCTTTTTAACACTAAAATCTGTTCTAGGGTCATATCATATATTTCCTTTGCATTCTATGTACCCTTCTGCAAGCACTGAAAAAGTTTTCTTAAGTGTATCTTAAAATGCAATAAATATGGAAATTTAATTTCATTAGATCCTCATTACCCTCAATTCCCTGAATGAGAAACCTACATGCTACAGGGGTATTCACAAAGATCTCAGAAAACATCAGATTCAAAAGTTCATATTCGAATTTTTAAAATTTAGTTGAAATTGGCTTCAATCAGGATCACTCCTTTACCATCACACCCTATCGCTGAAATAAAGTGAACTTTTACTAGGTGTCAAGGATAATACTCAAGGGTTGAACAAGCTGAACTATCTCCCACACTCTACTGTGTGTGTAGAGGGAGGAGGTATGATATTCAGAATACAAGAGTAGTTGTAGTGTGTAGCTGGGGGGAGGTATGATATTCAGAATACAAGAGTAGTTAATTCAAACTGTTCTACCCCAAGAAAGTCTAGATTTGAAACACAACTGTCTCCCTAGGTGGGAAAGATGGAGGGGAAGAGATCATAGTTGAATAACAATAGATAGCATCTTTCACCAAATTAGGTTAACTGCTCAGAGAAGGTAGTGTGGTATGTGGTAGTAATATGAGTTTATTGAGGCATCTTTCTGCTTTCAGTACATATCCTGCATTCTCTCAACTTTCTCTGTTCATAGTTCTTCCTTCCCCCTCTAGGAAAGCTTATTGTCACCACCCGTGCCATTGTATAAATTTTACCAATCCATCTAGATCTAGTTAACATGCCATTTTCCCTACGGAGCTTTGCTGCTTTTCCCACCTCAAGCCAGAGGTAATCTTTCCAATCTCTAAATTTTGCCTTAGTACAATGTCCCTAGCATGCGACATGGTACAACAGTAAGAATTTAATTTTATGCAAAATGCTAACATAATTTCTTTTAAAAGGTTCTAAATGCTGGACAGTGCATTAAAAAGTATAGACATCACTTTGCTGACAAAGGTGCGTATCGTCAAAGCTATGGTTTTTCCAGCAGTCATGTATGGATGTGAGAGTTGGACCATCAAGAAGTCTGGGGGCCAAAAAACTGATGCTTTCAACTTCTGGTGTTCGAGAGTCCCTTGGATTACAAGTAGATCAAACCAGTCAATACTAAAGGAAATCAACCCTGAATATTCATTGGAGGGACTGATGCTAAAGCTCCAACACTTTGGCCACCTGACGTGAAGGGCTGACTCACTGGAAAAGACCCTGATGTTGGGAAAGACTGAAGGAAAAAGGAGAAGTGAGCAGCAGAGGATGAAATGGTTAGATACCTCACCAACATGAATTTGAACAAACTCCAGGAGACAGTTGAGGACAAGGAAGCCTGGAGAGCTACAGTCCATGGGGTCTCAAAGAGTTAGCGACTGAATAACAACAGCTCTTTGAGGTGGCAGAAATTTAAAAAATCAAGCAACTTGCTCAAAGAGACAGTGGCAGACACAGGAACTGAATCTAGGTCTGCCTCCAGAGCTGACTCTTTTAATTACTATATTTTTGTTATTTGTGTATTGACTAACCTACATCCTATCAGACAAAAAGGTAATCATCTCTGTATTACCTGTTATCACCTAGCATGCACAGTGCTCTCCACCTAGCAGATGCCCAAAGGTTTAGCAAACTGCATCACCAAGTTCGGTATCAAGTTCAATTCCCTGGGTGACATGGAATTAGTATGAGGGATAGTCCCTATTAATCAGGTGCTTATAAGTCTCAGTAAGAAGGCAAGTCTCATTTTTCCGTAATAGAAGACAATGTAATTTGAACATTTATTGAGCACCTATTATGAGTCATAACAGAGTTACTGGCACTGGGAAGACAGAAGTGAACAAAAAAGACAAATTCCTACCATCAATGAATTTATAATCTAAAGACAAATGATTATGATAAAGTTACATGAATAATGTATTCCAAGCTGTAACCATTTAAGAGTTAATTAAGGATTATATAATAAGTACTAGGAAAAGAGGTGGTACTTGGGTACTGTACCTTAAGGATGGCTAGGAAAAAAGAAGGAAAAACAAGCCACCTCAGCCAGTGCTTCTAATTCACACACTTTTGGAAACAGTGACCTGGAGCTGTGAATGGCTACGTGCCCTGATAAAAATGTATTCCCTCCTAATGTATACTCTCATCAAAAATGCCAATAGCAGCCACACTGAGAAACATGGGTCTAGGCAGAAGGATGACCTGAGCAAAGGCACTGATAAGAAAATGAGTTTAAATGTAATGAAGTCATTCTTCAATCTACTGTGAGAAGTTAGGGGAGTAGCTTTCTGAGAAATGTATTATTTATAAAACAAACTCCTGCTTCAGTCCAAATCCTTAGAGGTTATTAGAGCATCTCTATCAGGTATCAGCAAACTATGGCCCATGGGCCAATCCAGCCAGCCATTGATTTTTGTAAATAAAGTAGTACTGAAACATAGCTACACCCACTCCATTTATTTACTTACTGTCTACAGCTGCTTCCAGATCCAACAGTAAGGCCGAACAGTTTCAACA